CAGATGTACAAGCTAACAAGCTACTTGAGCTAACAAGTACTCAAATTCAGCAATTCATGCCAACAAACAAGCCAAGTTAACAACTACTCAAGCTAACAGCTATCTGACATTTTATTAATTCAAGCTGCAGGTATACAAGCTGTCACTGAAACAAACAAGCTACATGAGCTAACAAGTATTCAAATTTAGCAACTGACGCGAACATCTAGCCACGTTAACAGCTACCCGAGCTCACAGACCATTAAGCTGACAGCCAATCAAGCCAAAAATTATACAAGCTAACATCTGAGCTAACAGGTAAGCTAACAAGTCAAAGGAAGTGGTTTAATTTAAGAACAAAAATATAAAATTTACCTAGCAGTTTCATCAAGAAGTGCATATTGTTCTAGATATTGTGTAGTTTTATAAGTATTTTATGCCTTTTCATAGTGATGAAACTCAATAAGACACAGCTTCAATTTGAAGATAATACTTCAAAGATTTCATCCACTTGTGACTTATTGACTCAGATTAGCCATCAGTTTCACTATTTGACTTCCCTAGGAGAATCTTGCCTAATTCCTCTAAGATACTGACTTCTCATTACTACTCTACACAAGCCCACTTCACAAAGAAACATGGAAAAACCACTAATGTGGGGCAGAGATGGAACCGAAACGTCAGCCTCTGCAGACCCGATTCACTTGGATAACTTACATTTGAATCAAACATCAGTTTGTTTGGCTCTTGAAGCCAAACTGCTCTGACACCCGAGAACACGCCTGAGGGGTTGAAATGCACACTGCTCATTTCAACACTAAAGACTCCAAGTTTCCCATGCTGCACCTGTGAGAAAGCTCAAGCTCAGCACCAGCGAGGACAAAGCATCTTTTTCAAGCCCTTTGAATCGGTGGAGAAACGGTTTTCTGTTTGTTGTTTCCAAGCTTGTCCATTTAAAGACGTGGAATGAGTAAGGTGTGCAGAAACATGTAATTTGTAATTCAAAAGGTAGGCAAATTTTAAGGTTATAAGCATCCAGCAGATTGCCTTGCTTCCTCTGACATGGACGATGATTTATGCTGCAGATTGTCGCCTGAATCAGCAGCAAAAGCCGACTGTCTTTTACGAGCCTGCGCTGGAATTAAAGTGGCTACTGCTCCCACTTTTGATAATTCAGCCAATCAGCTAAGGTTCACCCTGACTTTACTGCTATGTAAATGTCAGCATGGGGTTTCCTGGTTGCGGCTGGGAGTGGGAGTGGCTCCCCACGCTGGGGGGAAAGGCTGTGACTCAAGCTAAAAGCAGGCCCTTTGACAAACAAAACTAATGGTGGAGATTACGGCGCATTACTCTCTGTTAGCACAAGAGATAAATCTGAGAATGTTACAATATACTAGAAATTTGGATATGCAATACAAGTGAAATATCTTGATCTAAATACTGAAATATTTGAAAACCTTCTGTAAAAATGGACTCCAATCGTTCCAATTGCCTTTCAAAATTAGTCATTATTCACATAAAACTCTAATTTTGTGGGATTTTAGTTTGATTTGCCAAAGAAAAATAATACATAACTGTGATACGGGAGGAATCGGTGAAAGATTTTCAGTATTTTAACAAATAAAAGTGTAAAGTACAATTGTATGCAGTATTCTTAATTTCGATGGTTATTTACAAAAATTCAATTGCAGTGCATTGTTTTAACATGTCTGTGAAGTTATTGGTGTATCTAATTGTGCTGAACTGGTGCAGAGTTGTCAAATAAGTTATTAATTCAGGACATTTATATCTGTGTTTTAAAAAAGAAACATTTTAATTCACTTCAGCAGTTTATCTGTATTAGATCGATTAACGAAGAAAAGTGGATCAGTGCCTCCCTAATTTAGACCGTTTTTTTATTTTATTTTTAAATACAATAACTGATTAGGAATCAATACCAACTACATCAAGAAATACAGAAACTGCAAGGACAAAAGATTGGAAGAAAGTAAGAAAAGACTAAACATTTTCCCACCATTATTTACCATTCTTGAGCTACTATATAATTCAAAGAAGGGTCTGATTTTGGAAAATAACAAGAAAAAATCAAATTATATCACATTTTTCGCCCAGGTAGACTTGCTGTCGAATACAACTTCAGTTGTGATAAAAAATTTAAACGTCCATCAGATTATATCACCTTAGATCTGTTTTCCATTCTTCTGAAGAAATTCTCTTTGCCTTCGACATATCAGACGTCTCAGCTGGACGTGAAAATCAATCGGTGTGGGTGAGAACTGCCTTTAGTAGCACAGCGTGTAATGAGTGATGCAACAGGGAGTAAGACGGGTGTTGAAGAAAATTTAGAGAGCAGTAATTATGCAGTCGAATGTTAATCGGTGCTGGCTACCCCTCGGTTTCATGTTGATGGGAATAAACGAATCAGGTTAAAAGCTATACTTACTACAAGTTTGCTGCCTGCTTGCCTCCCACCTGAGTGTTAAAATGTACCAATTAATTTCACTCTGAAGTTTTTTTTACAAGACAAAAAAGAAATTACACTTTGGTTAGAACTTTGCTTGATGCAGCAGGACATTCACTGCAAAAAATACAAAATCCGACAAAGTAATTTAGGTATAATTAATAGTGCAAATATTGTAGTAAACTTGAAATAAGACTAACTTACAAGTAACTTTTTATTATGATGTAGAGGTGCGTTTAAAGTACATAATTCCTTAACATTGATGAAAAAGTTATAGTTCAATGGGCAAATTATTTATTTATAATATGGAACTAGAACTGGGTTGCTAGGTAACGGGCTGGGCGTGGCCGGCGTTGCTAGGTAACGGGCTGGGCGTGGCCGGCGTTGCTAGGTAACGGGCTGGGCGTGGCCGGCGTTGCTAGGTAACGGCGCAGTGGAATGGTCTACCAATGGATCTAATATTTTATCATCAATATTAAAGGCATTATTTATGCCTTTCCACAACATACAAGTATGTTGTGGAAAGTTAGTTTTGTCGTGTTTCGAGAGTGACGCATTTGCTCTAGAAACTGGACAAAATTACTTGGTAAGATTTTGTGTTTTTCCAGTGTTCTGGTCATTTTCTCTTCCTAACGTCTCACCTTTTGTCAATAATTTTGTACAAACCTTCTTTGGATATCCAACAGTGTCGTGTGTTTTATTTAAGTAAATAATGTCTTAAAATTGATGAAAAAGTCCCAGCTACATTGGTAGAATGCTACACTGCGCCGTTGCCTAGTAACCCCAGCCAACACCCGCTTGTCACCTAGCAACCCAGTTTTACCACCGCTGGCAGACCATTTCATTTACAACATGTCATTTTTCCCATATAATTTATCTGCCAGTGAAACTAGAGCTTTTTAAATCAATATAAATAAATTAATGACTTAAAACACAAAAAGTTATTTACAACACAAGAAGTGAGACAAAACTAAAGATATTTGCACTAGAAGCCAGACCAAAAATACTTGGTACGACGTCCATCTTTGTTGGATATCCAAATCGAAAACCCTGCACAAGTTCAGAGTGACAATCTCTTCAGGAATCTAAACAACGCAAAAAACTGGACCTGCACAAAAGCGAAGATCTGAGCCTCCCAGACAAACTGTCTTTTTGTCCACATTTGTCCTATTGTTTGTGACTTTAAAGCCAAACAAAGGTAGAGGCTCTTTTTTCACCTCCGACAGTCTTTGTTCGCCGTGCCGCGGCTCCGATCGTGAACAATAAGCGGTGACGCAATGCGAGAGTTTGGTTGAAAGGCCACCAAGGTGTGGCGCACAATGAAATCTGAGAACAAGAGCCTCGTTTCAGTTTTGACTCCAGCCAGACGTGCATTCACTTCACCGCCTGTATTGCCTTTAATGAGAGAAAATTTTCACAGACAAACATTATAATAACGCTGGCAGCAATAGTTACATTCCAAGCCTGGTGTTAAGTGCAGAAAACATCGTGCTGGCAAACAGAAAACCTTTCCTCAGGAAACCGCGGGTTTTTCTGTAGAAGGGTTCATGGCCATTTTCAGTCGAGCATAAAATTCAGTTTCTAAAATAAACATCTTCAAATTTCAAAACATGTCCACAGGTTGTTTTTAAAGGGCAGTAAATTGCAATACTGCTTAAAACCCTCCACATTTCTTCAAACAGGTGCATCTCTAAAAGTTAGAATATCACACAAAAGTTTAATTTAATGTATTATATGATTGGCAAATCTTAAGTTTTTATTTCTGAATGGTTTACAGCTAAATAAAGCACATAGTATCCGTCTGGTTGGTAAAAAGAGTCACCCTGTTATATTAAAGCAGAGTGTAAATATCTGAGAATACAAAATGTTCTGAAAGCTAAAATGTTCTTGCTGATGTTTATTAGGAAATTATTTATTCATTTATTTTCTAAAAACAAAAAAACAACCATTAGCACACAGAAAACTAAGCCGCAAATAAGAACAGGTCCACTGTAAGGTGCTAGCATTATAAATAGCTCACATAAGGTTACATGCTAGTGCTAACAGTTAGCAACTAATATGGACCCCTATCAATAAGATGTCATGCGAGCAAAATCCGGCCCGATCTCTCTACTGGAGGGCAAAAAGCTGATCGCTAACAGTGGCTACCATTGGTTTTAACTTTAGTTAAGTTGTCAACATACGCACTAAATCTTAAATATATACCTGATATGTATAAGAAAAAGGAACGCAGTGCTTTGCTACTAATTGTCAAGTAGCTAGCTTGACTATGACAACTGTGACGTGTAGCTGTGCGGTGTAATTCTGCAATATGGACCCTTTGTATCACTGTATTAAACTTGTTGGTTCTGAACTTTTCCTCTTTAAAACTCTTCTCTAGATCTTAATGTACCACATTTAACTCAGAGAAACCTAAACTCTCATGCAAAATTGCTGATTCTTCAGTCAAAGATGAGGTTCAGATGTTCAGTCTAAAACCTTTTTCAGCTGTTTTCTAATACTCGTTTTGCGTCTAGTGTCTTTTTTTAAGCAACAAATTACTTTAATAAGTGCCACTCACCTTCAAAACCTGGATGGATTCGGGGTGTGTAGGACCCAAATTTGATCAGGACAGGAATCTCAACGCCTTGCCGCACCCATTCCACCACCTGTTGGGTTGCAGATGACCCAGACCGCCGCCCTGCTGGTGGAAAACTGCACTCCAGCTCCACCCAGCCTCCAGCCTTTCCACGGACCTCCGACTTCCCGCCATCAGTGGTCACTATGGAGTCCATAAGCAGTGAAATGAGAGGCTCGTCTAGGGGATCCAGGTATTACAGCTACAATATTTCCATTGGAATCAATAAAGAGATACTTACAAAAGTGGCAAACGAGTACAACTGCAGCAAAAGTCTGCCAGTATGATCTTCCTGACCTCATATCTGTCAGTCAAACAACCTGCAGCATGTTCAGCCTGTTGGCAAAAGACACACAATTGTCACATTCCCATTACTTCCTTGGCTGCACATAAGATGACAGCCATCTGTGACAGCTTTCCAACCTCAGAAGACTCTAACCGAGCCGTCGGCTCTGTCATCGTTTTACAGGAAGGGGAGAGAAGAGAACTCGGGGGGTTTTTCTATAGTTTTCCGATACCTGGAACTCATCCCATATCATTACACAAATGGGAAGAGCAGCTTCTGCAGCCAGAAAGCCTGGCCTGACTCTCCTTTTTGTACAACCTACTGGTATAAATGCCACATAAATCTCTGGAGTTATGCGTTTTATTTAAAGGTGTTTGGCTGAAGGCTTTGCAATCAAGGACGACCGCATCGATAAAAGTCCAACAAATGGTTCAGTTCTGCTTCAGTGTTTGAAATGTCAATGAATTTTTAATTTAAAACATTCTTTCGTTCCGTCCAGATTGGGACACTCCAAAGCTTTGCACATATTTGTCACACATCCTGAATATTTGTGATGTTGTTGGAAAAATAAAAGCTGCAGCTGTAAGCAACCATCTGTTCCCACTGTGAAAGGTGAAAGGTCGTACCACCAGCTGTTTCAGCTCTTTGTGCAAAATTAGAAGATGATGTTGGTTTCCAGGCTCCTACACTGTAAAAACACTCAATTCTACCAAGTATTTTTGGTGTTGTTTCTAGTGAAAATCTTAGTTTTGTCTATTTAACAGGTTTTGCACAAAGTGTTGGTACAGAATCGGTATCACCAACACCAGCTTCAACTTCACTCAGTGTTGGAAACTCGATAAGACTGATTTTCAAATTGAAAAAAGGGCAATTTGACTTTTTTTGTGAAAAAGAAAAACTGAACAAAAAGACAGGTTTTCAGGATGTTGATCATTATTAATTGGAACTTATTGCAACAATGACAAAAACACCCAAGATAAGAAATTTATCACAATAAATCTTCACTAGGCAGGTAAATTTAAGGTGTCAAATTCAGCGTTTTGTTGGTTTTTAGTTCAGGACAGCATCTTAAAATCAATCGACATAATGCGTTAAAGTCAAATAAATGTGAACGATCAGCTTGTCACATTCTCGGTGATTTCTCCACTTCCTGATTGTGATCAGCCGCACTCCAGCGCCCAGGTTAGCGGCCGTGCAGATCCTATTTTCAGTCCCACTCCCACGCTAGTTTTTATGGCCGTCTCCATCTTTGGGGCCGGGGCAAAGTCTGAGCCGGTGCAAAACAATTACGCCGCCTGTCAACAGCCGGCGTGCTGCGCTCAACCCGCTCCCATGCCTCAGCAAACGGCGTACGAGACTTTCCCCAGAATTAATGCGAGAGTTAAAACTCAATCTGCAGCCATTCTGTTCATCACCGTCAGCTGGAGCGTAAACACACCAATTCACAGTCCTTCACCTGCCTGGCTTCTCGCCGCCTCGCAGAAAAACTTTATGCTGAACAAACTGCATTTGATTTAAAGTGGACAAAGGCAGGCGAGATTAGCCGCAACGTTACGCTTCTGCGAAGAAGAAGAAGAAAATAACTGCAACTCCAAGCCTGGCAATCCATCACTTAGTGCGTTTCTTCAGCTTGGAGCGTTTGACAATGAGTCAGCGATTCATTTCAAACAGCAAAAGTTCCATATGGTTACATAGTTCCCACAATTGTTCATTTATTTCTCTTAATTGTCACAAAAGCAATTTACAGCTTTTGAAAACTCAAAATTCAATATCTCAGAAGTTTTTATCTGAAAGAAAAGAGGAGTAATAAAAATAGATAGAGTGTTGCAATGGAAAGTTGAGTGGAAGGAAAAAGGTAGGGCTTCAAACATATCGATCACTTTAACGGTCATGTTTGTAGAGTACTCCATTATTTCTGCAAGCTAACAATGCTAACAACGGCTAGTAGCATTGAAAGTAATATTAGTTTGTTTTAACGTACCAAACAATAATTTTTTTTTTGTTATTTTATCAATATCTGCAACTATTTGGATGGAGTTTTTATTGGAGCTTAAGGTTAAAAAAATACTAAATATAGAAAAAGTATTAGAAATGATTTTTTTTCCATTCTTTGTTGGGTGCTTGTTGCTTTTAAAGTACTTTATAAATACAGCATTATTAAGATCTTCATTTGTTGCTTTTGCAGCTTTTCCTTCCACCCAACTTTCCACAAATATGCCTGAACGCATCACTCTGAAACGCCAGCTTCAAACACTAAAAACTGTGCAGTGAAGCTACAGTTTGCTTTTTTCAAACACACAACTTCACAAAAAAGTTGTAAGGAAGCAGAAGAAGAAGAAGAAAAGCCAACTGACAGCTCCAGATAAATAAATCTGTTTCTCGCAGCTTTATTGGTCAGAACTGCGGCAAAACAGAAAGCAATAAAAAAATAAAGAAGAAACGAGGGACAGACGGAGAGGCAAACGCAGCGAGAGGAAGGATAAAAGGCACAAAAAAATCTCATTACGCTGCAGGACATTTCCTGTCATTAAATCAGAACCAAAAACTGTGAGAGCTGCCAAACAAACGCACGGCCGCTTTGTTTGGACGCCACGGTGACTCAGAGCGTCTCCCTCAGATGTATTCTGCCTCTGTCTTGACACCGATGGCACAGCTGCGGCGCCGGCACTCGCTCTAAAGATGTAATGAATGAGCAGGTAGCTCCCAAAGCGAAGCAGCTCGTCTCTCACTGATTTATCACATGACAGAAATAGAAACGTCAGTGACAGGCATGCTGTTGAGATTCTGCTGCGGCCCGCTCCATCTGCGTAAGGAGACGGGCTGAATGATCAGGACTGAAGCTCAGATTTATCAGGGAAACAAATGGTTTTCCCATCGGATCGAGTTTCTCCTGCAGGAAAAAGTTCTTCCAGCTCTTTGCCAGATTATCGATTTTTACTCGGACCCTTTAAGGAAAACGAAGCACTAAGCTTTTCCTCAGAGGATGTGGAGCATTTCCATCTGCCACAAACAGAATTGGACATCAACTTCAATACGGAAACAGAAAACACTCGGAAAAAAGGAAAAAGACGTACAACTTGGGTGAAACATTAGAAATAATCAAGATCAAAAGTTTGAAATATGCAGATAAATAAATGACAGCATAATCAACTTTGACTTTTCATCTAAAAGACCTAAAACTATAAAAACATAATACAGTAACTAGTTATTACATATAATTATATTTAGCAAAAATGCAGTCATTAAAATCATTAAGCTAATCATTATAAGCCTGGCGGGCCACCAGGCTTAACTTGTGTCCCCACCAGGCAAAGAATTGCTTATTTATTCAAGTCTTTTTAAAATTTTTGTATTTTTTAACTGAAAAACATGGTGGGCTGCTGGATGAATGCTAGCTAGGCTAATGGCTACAAATCCTTTCCAGAAAACCACAATCAGAGCCATTATTCACATTAGTGACCTTCAAAAGAGAGGTAAAAAATTACTCCAAATACCAGAATAGCAATTCACTGCATGCTTAATTTAAATATTTATGATAAACCATAAAAAAGAGACTTCCAATGCAAAAAACCCACGACTAAAAAGAATTTGACAGAACAATCTGACAATTACTTAAAAACCAAAAGGCTAATGTTGACTGGCTATGTAAGCATGACATCATTCTCCTGACTCCACCTCTGATTGGTCGATCAGGTCCCTCCGACGCCTCCTCTCCTGAATGCATTGTCAAAATGTGTTTCTTTAGCTTAATTAAATCAATGTGAATAGATTGTACTTTAACTGATTAATTAAATTAAACATAGCTTGCTCTGTTCAACATGAAAGCTCAAACGTAAGAAAAGAAAATTTGAGTTTGAGATTTTGATTCATTACTCAAGAGAATCAGCGAACGTGAAAACCTCTTTTTATTTTTCTAAGATGTGGAAATCGGCAGCAACGTAGAAGATGAGTTAACAGAGTTGCTAATTTGTTATGCAGGAGATTTAATTTCATAAATGATAATGGTGCTGACACAATTATGTTTAAAAAAAAAAAAGGATTGAAAAGCACCGAGCGCAAAGTACGGCTGTGGCTTTTAAGGATTATCGTCTTTAACCCAAATATTCCCCTAGATAAGCCAGAAAAAGCACTGAAGCTACTGCCGTTTATCATTTTGGGAGCTGATTTCGTGATCACTAAATGCCCCAAATGCAAACCCGCCATTAGCAAACTCTCTCTTTTTAAAGAGAGAAAGAAAAGATGAAAGATTTGCCTCATCACTCACTTGGATTTTATTTCCTACTCCGTTTTTCTGATTACCTAGAATGATCAGAAAGGTGGAGAAAAATTACCTTCTAGTTTAATTTGTTTTGGACACGCGGCACAAAAATTAAACGACAAATTGGAAGATTTCCTGCCAATAATTTGGAGATAAATTCTTCAAGAAAATACAAAAAAAAATGTGAACAGCTGTTTCTGTTCAGCCGAAGAACGTCAGCTGGTGACACTGAAACGTAGAGCTGTGTTTCATCAGCGTAGCTTTGGTAAATAATCATTTTTTTCTTGTTATAATCTTAAATAGGAAGAGCAAATTGGAGGGATCCGAGGATTAAACCTTGGGGTACTCCAAGTTCTCTTTACAAATTAGTTTGCATCTAATAAACCATTTGTGCAAAGTTTGATTTAAAACAAGTTTGATTTAAAACAAACTTTCCACAAATGGCTTATTAGTTCCCAGACAATTTGTAAAGAGAACTTGGGAGTACCCCAAGGTTTAATCCTAGGACTCCTCCAAATTGCTCTCACTGTATCAGTGAGAGGAAATTGGAGGGTCCTAAAATGTGTGCAAATAAAACTTTGCACAAAATGGAACAAATTTGGAGCAAAATTACTCTAGCGAGAACAGAGCATATTTGGTGATACAGTTGTCGCTCTATCAGTGTACCCTAAAACTTGTGCAAATAAAACTTTTCACAAGATTTAAAATCTTCCTTTAGAAAAAACTTCCTTAAATTAAGGAAATCTTGATCAATGTAGTTGTTGAGACATGCAACAAAAAATTTAAGGGAATGCAAGTTTAATTTTTACCAATATTTTCAGGAGAAAACTTAAATGATAAGGCATAAACACCCAAAAAAATAGTATTTACTTTTCAGTATTTGACCTTGCCTGCCAATCATGAATCTGAAGAACAAACAGCTTCAAAACATTTAAAACATGCTTTTCATATGAAAGGTTAAAGACTCAAAAATGTCAAAATATACATTTTTAAATTTGCCCTCAAATCTCTTCTCTGTTACAGCTTCCTATTCCATCTTGCATTTAAATTTCATGTCATTCTTTGCCAAACTCGCCATCACCGGAACGTTTGAGGCTGTAAAATGTCATGTTGGAACATCTCCTGTCAGCCATCTCTCTCAAGAAAGGAATAAAAAATAAAATGCTCTTCATTGGCATTCACCCTGCTCCAACCCGGTTCGTCTTTGTTACCGTGATAAGAGTTTTCCCCAGGGAGCTTACTTCATTCAGCCTGGCTCCTGTTAATCTACATCATACTTTTTCCCCATCCTTGCACATGTGTCAGAAAGGCTGGTTTTTATAAATCCAAACACGCTGCTTCCATCACAATGGGTACTCTGCGTCTGGCTCGGTTTGATGTGCACTTAGGGGGAAAATAGGACAGGCAAAATAAAGAGGGTTCCACTTTAGTGGCCATATAAACGCTTGGAGTGCAAATATTTGGCATCTTATCTGGGAATCAAGGTGAACGCCACAATGTCTTGCTGACCCCATAGATGGAGTGACTGTAAAGCTCTGGCTTAGAAAGGAGAGAGCAGCAATATGGAGGTCAAACCAAGGTCACAAAGTCAGTCTGTAACTTCACAGTGGTCACGAATTGCTTCTTTTTCTGTTGCAATAAGAGTGCAATCACACAAACCCCATCTGGTCGACGAGTTCAATCAGAGTCTGGTTGTTTTTCCCAAAAAGTTTGGCTCATTGGGGGAGGTGTGAAAACATAATCGAACTTAAAAAAGCGAAATCTGGTCCGCTTACAAACCTCGGTCTTGATTCGATTTTGTCGACGTGAACTCCGGTGCTGTTGGAATTCACATGTGAAGCAGGAAGTGGACTACAGCACAGGGCATTCTGGGTAAATGCAACCAAAACAAATGTGTGCCAGCAAACTACGCTAGCAGGAGAAATGGCTAGCTTAAATCCTACAACTGCTAAAACCTGACGCTAGTCCACTTTTTCCCCCATTGACAGTCTTCAACCTTTAACAAACCTCAAAGCAAAACCAAAGCGATCTGAAAGCTCGTCAGAGACGACTTTACTCAAAAAAGCAGACATCCTGTTTCGATTTGCAACCTTCGTCTGGGGAGAGCAACATGGACTTAAAGTTTTATTACAATATGATGTGATAAAATGGTGACTATTACACCTTCTTAGAGAACTGTGTGGCTGTGACAAAAACACTGCTCCCATGTCTAAAATGCTTGTTTAGAACATGAGTTACATTTAAAAAGTTATTTGTATCACCAAGCTGCACAGAGTAACAGCATATTTTCAAATTTGTTGATATTTATTGATGCTTAACTTGAACAAAGAGTGAAGAAAATAGTAAAACTAACAATCCAGACAATATGGAAAGTTTTGGAAACCAAGTATTTCTTTCTAGTTATTTCACTTATAACAAGACATTTTTCTGATTCGTGGAATAATCTGGCAAAGGAATAAATGATTTAGAGTCTCTTGTAAATTAAGACAAACATCCAGCTTGTTTTAAGAAGTACTTTCTGAAAAGTTACTTGTACAATTAAAATAAGAAAAAAACTAAGATATTTGCACTAGAAACTAGACAAAAATACCGGTAAGGTTTTGTGTTTTTGCAGTGTACATTTTAATTGAAATTTACCACAACAACAAGTTAAAGTTCTTAAGTTAAAGTAGCATGTCACGATAAATGATAAGATACAATAAATATGCCTGATTAAGCTAAAAATTTATGTTTTGGGCCTTAATGATTGTTTTTATGACTAGAAAACAAACTAATTAGCTTTTTGCCATTTATATCACGCAAATAGTAGCTCATCATTTGAATAAAATAATTGTCTTTCTTTTGATCTGCATTGCAAAACTCACCTCAGAACTGTTTCAAGGCGAAAGTGTTGTATGAAATATTAAGAGATTATTACAATAAGGATTTTAATATTTCAGCCAAAGGGTGTTTGAGAAGAAACACAGAAATTAATTGGTTTTAATTTAAAGTCAGAGCCTTCTTCTTCAGAACCTGAGAGCTCAAATATGAAACTGCTCAAGGACACAAGCTCATCTCTGTAAAGCTTTACTACTGATGCCTAAAATTATATTTTTTCTGTATAAATAATATTTGAACAGCCATGTTTTATAGCAAGGTGAAGCTTTTATAAAATCCTTAATTCCAGTTTCTCAAGGTTTTAAAGAGCTCCTGTCAATATTTTGACACCAGCAGCTTATGGGCTGATGAGACCTTTGTTATATCGGTGATTCAATTCCACTTCAGTCTGCTTTAGTTGTCAACATGAAGTGTTTACGGTACTGCTGCAGATCAAGAGCCACCATACGGACTCTTCTCCTTCACAGGTTAATTAATTTCCACCGAGTTTGTTTTTCTGATGACGTAAACTTGGTGAGAGGGAAAAATTATCCATTAAACCGGCACCAGCTGGTGCGTCGAGAGGCTCGATAAAAACCGATGAGACAGTTTCTGAAATTGTTAAACGGGGCTCATCTGGGGACTTTACGGACATTTTTTCCAATTAATGCTGGAAAATGAAGATAAATGAAGATCGACTCAACACTAAAGAAATAAGCATATTAATGCAAACCATATTTTTTATTTGGAAAGCAAAAAATAAATCTAAAAATGACCTTTTGTTTATATGCATTTGCTTTGAAAGTTTGCTACCTAAAAACTTTTATATTGAACATTTTATAGTTCAGTTTATCAGAAAGTCCGAAGTGCTCATTAACGCAACAAAAAGGTTTCAACCCCTGATAAAACCATAGCTAAACACTGTAAAATATATTTTAAGGTAATTAAATGATAGTAATTAAATTAGGTATTTTCTAAGCACTTTACAGATTGTTTATGTTAAATTACATAGTTTTTGTCCTTCTGAAATCATATTAAAACTATTGAATTAAATGTTTTTAAATGGGCTGATGGATGCTTATTACTTAAGTAAAAAATATTTAAGTAGAGATCATTAACCTAGCTCCAGACCTAACGTTTTTCTTTATATTTTTTTATTATTTTATAAATTTATACCTCTTAAACTTTTCAAATAAAAGTTTCACTGACAAAGTCATTTGGTGGAGTCAAAGTCATTATTTTGTTAGTGGCGTTCAGACAGATGTCAAAGTAAAACACCATTAAATGGGGTGGGAATTTATCGCATCGCTTATAATTTATCATGATAAATTTCTTGTCATGATAAGAATCTTGATTTCTTATCACATAAAAGTAGAAAAGTATTGTTTTGATTATTTTTTCCCCATTTTCTCCACTATAAATACGATTAAGTGCATTTTAGTGATACAAATTACACTATCCTGAAGAAGCTAATTACAAATTAGTTTGTATTTTTAAGAGCATTATTTGAGTCTGTGGGGTACGATTGTTGTCATGCAGTCCCAAACGATACAATAAATTAAAAAAAGAAATGATGACTGTCAAAATAGTACCACCAAATATCGCGATAAAACGCCCATATCGCCCACCCATCCCATTAAACAATGAAACGTTATTTCCAGCTAGCTAGCGTTTAACGTTCGGACGTTAGCTAGACGTTAGCTGGCAAGCTAGGAATCGTTCGACACTTGTTGGTATCCATTTGGAAAGAGTCGATATTATGTTCCAACTTATCAGTAATTAGGCGCTTTATCTCGCCTTTATGAGTCCAAAGTCCTCACCCAGTTAGTGAAGGAGAAAAAACAGGAGCCTTGTGGCTTTAAACCAATAATATCTATATAAAACTGTCGCTTTTGACGTCATGATACCCCAGAGAAAGTTCATTAGTTTAGTTTATATGGTCTGCATGCCACACACAGCTCAGTAAGGTCAATTTATCCACATTTAAACACTTTTTATCGTGTTTTTAACCTTACCTGGTGGATTCCCTTTAGAAATAAATCCTCTACATGCTCCCTCCGGTCCAACTGAAGCGACGGTTTGAAACCGAGCAGAATGAAGGTTTTGTCCCTGTAAGCGACAAAAGCCACCGGGATCCCCAGCCGTAACACGAGCCTCTTCCTCTCTAGTGCGTCTTAAAGAGCCCACCGGGCAACAGGTGTTCGCTTCACGTACAGGTGACGCCTCTCCTCTTACCTCTCCGTCCCTCCCACCGAACCGCTGCTTCTTCCTTGTTCTGCCCAACTCCTCCTCGACACCGTGAACAGAGAGCACAACCCAATACTGGAAGCTCCTGAATTTTTAAATCCAGGGTTTTGTTTGTTCAAGCTGACACGTTTTCCTATTTCCAATCCCCCCCACCCCTCCTCCCCCGGATGACGTCATTCTCAGCTGCAACCACCAGAGGGCGCCATTTACCTGCTGGAGGTCAAACTGTTGGGCTTCCGTTAAAAGTCATGAAGAAAAATGTCTGAAAAAAACCTTTCCCACAAATTCAGTTTGTCACAAAATTTGCCTGTGTGTGAAATAGATTTTAAAAAATGCAAACAATATTCTGAGATTTAGCAAACTCAAATAATTTAGGTTATCTCAGCCTGAAAAGTTGAAAATGAATCTGATTTTTATGTAAGTCGGTGAGAAGGAATGTTTTCTCTGTCTTTAAATAACTACAAGGTGAACAAGAATAACAGTACTTCAACACATTTTTACTCAAGTTAAAGTGAAAAGTAGCTCTCCAGATAACTGAGTGAAAAAGCATTTGTTTAAAAGGCAACAGAAATATTAACGGATCAGAACATCTGATTTAAAATGATGTAATCTGACACAAAAAAGAACGTTTTTTCTACATTTTATACCAATTTATTTAACTTAATTAAGTAGTAATTTAATTAACTTATATAATTACAACTGATGTTGGTATTTTAAAGATAATATATATATATACCTTACATTATATAAAAACTCCAAATTAAGTTAAAAGAAAAAAAAACATTGACAAATTACACTTTTCAATGCAAAATGTCAAATATTAACAGCATGTTAGTAATATTAGCACAGTATATACCTATAAATAACATAATTGATATTGGCAATACTGGTAAAGTAAAACAGCATACTTTGGCCATTGTATACTTATATAAATATAAGAGTACATTTCTGCCAAAACCTCAAGATATTCTAAGAATAATTTCAAAAATTTTCAGAGAAATCAAGAAAAATTTCAGAATTTGAAAAGCCAAAAAATAAATACATTTTGAAATTTACCTCAGAAGATTTCTAGATTTTTTTCTCAAATATTTATGAAATTAATCTAAAAATTTTTGGATGTTTTTCTAGCAAATTTTCCAAATTTCAAACTTGATTTTTCTAGAAAATCTCAGATTTTTTTAGCAGAAATTTCCTCCCTGTGTCCCCTCGTCTATAATTACCCTAACATGCCATCACAATTTTGATTAAAACCTTAAATAAACCACATTTGTTAATATTCTTGACATACTGATGACATTTAAAACACGTAACATTTAATAAAACACCCAACATTTAATTTTCTGCTTCATTGCAGCAAAGTCAAAACATTCGTTCTTGTCACTCCAGCATAACAAAAAGAAACACTGCTTTCAAACAAACACTTTAAAAAATATATACCTGCACACCTTTAAAAAAAAAAAACTTTTCTACTTTGGATTATATTGCAAACACACTAGAGCTACAGCCACAGTGGAGCGACGGTAAATAAGAAATATGATTTCTGTGTCGAGTTTTTGCAGCCCGGCTTCCTCTGCTGCTAATAAAGCAGCTTGAGTCTCTGAGGTCGCTCGTGTTTCGGCGTGGAGGCTCAAAAAGCCAACGAGAAACGAGCAAACAGAGCAAAGAAGAAACATCTCACAGTTATACATTTCAGCAAAGCTGCAACATGTCGGCCTCCGCCGCTCTCCTCGTTCTGCTACAGTCGAGTCAGAGCGTAAACAGTCGCCCGGGTCAGTCGCCGAAGTCCGGGATGTCATCGTAGGAGTAACCGCGGTAACCCTTGGCGGCGTAGTAGGCGATCCTGACGTGGTAAAAGCCGGGCAGGAAGACCAGGAGGCCTATGACGATGATGGGGACGGTGCGGTTGGGATTCTAGGAGCAAAACAAAAAATAAACATCAAATAGAGGAGATGAAATGAAAAAGCGAGGTAGGAAAATGTGAACCAGAAGCACAGCAGGGGGCTTTGCTTTTATGAGTGAGTCAGGGTGCAGCGCTGGACTCCACCACCAGATGGCAGCATCGTGCACCGAGTCCATGCAGGTAGGCGTCCCTGCTGGTTTTCAGAGGTGCACTGCAGCATCACTGCAGCATCAAGGCTTTAAAACAATCTGTTTTTCTGTGTTGGTGCAGAACTAAAGCCGCAGTGCAGAACTTTAACTCTACATCTTTAACTTTCCTCACTAAAAACGAAGGCATTGATCTGGTTTGGCAGATAAACTCTTTGCTTCAATGTTGGCTGTTCAAAAACTGTAATTGAGATTAATAAAAAAATAAATAAATACAACAAAAATCATTCATCAATCAACTGACAACTTTTCACCAAACAGAACTTCTACTGAACCAAATGTAATCCCGTAATCTGATGCTGGTGGATTTACTTCCTTTACTTGCGTTTTTAAAGAAATTAAAACTTGGAGCGAGTTTGTGAGTCAGTGAGTGGATTAGCGAATGACTAAGTTACTGAGTGAGTGAGTAGGTGAGTGACCAAGTGAGTGAGTGAAAGAATTAATAAGTTATTAACTGAGTGAGTTAGCAAACATGAGTTACCGAATGACTGAGTTACTAAGCAAGTGAGTGAGTGAACATGAGTTTGTAAGAGTTAGTAGTAATTCAGTAATCCGGGCAGCAACTTACTGAGAGAGTGAATATAACAGTGAACACATGAGTGAGTAGGTAGTATGTGAGTGAGTGAATTAGCGAGCTAGCAGGTTACGGAGTGATTGAGTTACTGAGTTAGTGAGTGAAAGTGTTAGTAGTAACTGAGTGAGTGAATGGGAGTGGTGGTGTTAGTGAACAACTGAATGACTTACAGAGTGAGTGAGTGAATGGGAGTTAGAAGAGTTAGTAGCAGTCGAGTAAGTTAGTAATTGAGTGAGTTAACAAGTGAGAGAACAACTGAATTAGAGACCGAGTTACCGAGCGAGCAAATAAGTGGGTGAAAGTTAGTAGTGAGTGAGTGAAAAAGGCAGCTGAAGGAGCAACTTGTGTCTAATTTAAATATTTGTAAAATCCTGAGATATAAATGTATTTCTGACATTTTTGTTACCATCAGTGAAGCTTTTTCTGAGGTTTGGTTGTGTTAGCTGCAGCTGCGAAGCGTCTATTTTCAACGTTTGTCTAAAAACAGAGGCAGACGCCATTTTGACTGCACTGATTATCAGACTGAAAGCAGCCATGTTTCATGCAGGTGAGTCAGCTGAAGCATCCTCAGCTTTCACAGCTCAGCGGGTCGACTAATGGGACCAACCCAGCGGTAAATTCTGCTCCACCTGGCCATAAAAATATCTGTAGCACCAAGTGGCATAAATTATAAAAACTGTTAATGTGAAGCTTAGGGTACATGACTTGCTACTTTATTTAGTCAGTGAAACTGTTTAAGTAAAATAAAAGACTCTCTACTTTCACTAAATGGTCCAAAAATGCCACAATCCAATAAAAATCCATATAAAATATTTCAATAATTTCTTAATCTGATAATAGATAAGTTAGGGATTGTCAACTTTTAACATGATTAAGAGCATATTTTAAATATTTCATTCTTCTGTGCTGTATTAAGGACCACAAGCTCAACAATTCAATATATAATTGTTAAATACTTACATATTTAAGATGGAATTCATTATACAGTAAAATTAAATAAAAGTATTTTAAAATAAAATTGTGTTATTTAATATTTCCCCTTGCTACGAGCAACAACCTGTACAGGTCACTGGATTGCAATGATAAAATTAATCATACAATTATTTGGTTTTTACATTTAACTATTTAATTATTGTATTTAATAATTTATTAAAACATCTAATATGTTTTACCTAACGAGTGCATGTAATTAGAATTTTATTTAAATAATTTCCGAAGGTCTTTTAGGGTTTTTCTTTGTACTCTAGTTGCTTTAACAATAATATTTGTTCCAATATTTGACCATTTTTAGGAAAATATTGACAGGAATCACGCAGACATGAAAATGCTACAAAACTAAAATGAACCAGTGCTAAAAATGCATAATTTCCAGACTTCAAACTCACCTCGACATTGATGATCCCGGTCTGAAACAGGGCTCCCAAAATGATCAGCAAGGAGCCAATCAGGAACAAGATTACTGCCACGCCAATCGCCTTGTACGGGATCTTTGGTGGACTTTTCTTGAACTAGTAACACAGAAAGTGTAATTATTATGCAGTGAAACAAAAAAGCTTTTCAATCAGCATATAATTTGGCACCAATTCATTTAAACACTTTGCATTTAAAGTTGATATCCGATAAATATCTGTATCGGTTCTGATGCTAGGCTTTACTTATTTTACATTACATTTATAATTCCTAATTACACTTTCTGAACCATTTAACACAAGTTTGTTGAACTTTGTTTTAGGAATGCAGCGATACAAATATTTTGGCTGATACCAATATTTGATATTTAATATTGCTTTTATTGCCGATACCCAACATTTATCAATACAATATACATTTATTGTTTTGGCACCTTTGGACAAAAAAAACAGCAACAAGATGGGAATTTATATTGGTTGTTAATATTCTCAGTTTTATTTTGCAAGCCGATACCGATATCCAAAAAAAAGAAATATTACTAAAATCAGCTGATACCAACGTTAATGCCGATATATCATATCTCTAGTTTATTTTTACATATTTGACCAAAAATAATCAACTTATTAATTTTGTCATATTAAATTTCTTATTATTTATTTACATTGGCTATTATAATCCTAATTGTACTGACTGAATAAATTAAAGGGTTTTTTGCACGTTTGACCAAATTTCTTAAGTTGATCAAAAAGTTATCAAATACATTTTAACACATTTAAAGTAAAACAAAAAGGGGACATTTCAAGTCAATTTAAGTTTTTTTTTGTTTTTAGTTTAGGTTTATTTAGTGATTTGTTTTTCTGTGTCTCTTCAGTATCAGACGATACTAAATCCTAGATATCGGTATCAGAAGTGAAATAAGTGGCTCAGTGCCAATTCTAAATGCATAATCAAAAAAAAAAAAAAATGCTAAAAACTTAACGATGAGGCGCTGACCTGCAGGTCGATGTAGCCATCGTCGTCAGCTGCCAGTCGAGAATATTTGACCTTGTTGTTGGATAATCCAGCTGTCAACATGTTGCTTCCAACGTCCGTTAGCGTAGCATAACAGCTGTTTGGGCAGAGAAATGCAGGCTGGTAGTCCCAGTCATTTACAGCTTTTTATACGAGTTCTGATGAATCCAAACAAATAGAAACCTGGCAAATGAACAAGGTCGATATAAAGTCAGGAGAAGTTTAGTATTAGTTTAGTAACATCCAGATGTGGATTAATCAGGAAGTACATCTGTATTTATTTAGTTAGGTTCATTTCTTGTCCCATTGCTTAAAGGTTGCATTCAACCATCCATTTTCTATTGAAGTAAAAAGACAAAGGAAGAGAATCTGGAGCAAGTTTTGGATTCACAATTAGACAAAGACTTGAAAAATGAATAATGTGTTTAGATTTTACCAGTTTGTAAGTTGTTTGCCTTTAAACCAAGTTGGAAACAATAACTTAACTCATTGCGAATTACTTTGTAAATGCGCATCTTGTTAGGGTGATTTACACAACTAATTGTAGAAATTATTTCACAAAATTAATGTTTTTAACTTCCAAAAATAACTGCATAGAAGAGAAAGCGTGAAAACATTAACAGTTTAATCTTTTTGGCAGATATAAAAACTTCTAGACCTAAAATATCAGAGGGAACTCCAGTGTAAGAAGTTCAAAAATAAGACATTCTGAAGCTGGTGAGCTTAAATCCTTGAAACACAAAATGAAAATAAAAAACATTCTGAAAAAGGCCAGGATGTAAACAGGAGATAAAAGCAACCCTCCTAGCTAACTGTCAGGCTTTTTAATGTCTTATAAGTGTCTGTAGAGATATATAGGACTCCATTTAGTCATCGAAATGGAAGAACAGGGATCTAGTTTACACCTAATGGGTTTGAAAATATCTTCAAATTGTTTGTATGTTGTCAAAATTACATCTTTGTGCATTTTTATGCTAAAAACAGAGTTGTTCTTTCTTTTATAGCTTACTAAAATTACTAATAAGGGGATTAGCTACCTTGTGCCTTTTGTGATGTCATCCTTAAAGCCTGTTCTTGTGAAGGTTGTTTATTTCTTGGACAAATAATTACAATAAAACTAGCAGGAACACTGAATAAGGCAGGTTTTATAGTTAACAGCTAAATTAAAGTAAATTTTATTGGTTATAATAATAAATCTGAGTGGCTGCTTTTAGCTGCCTTAAAAAGGAGGTAAAAGTAGAAAATGAGATTTTTGATACAAGTTTAATCAGTCGTCAAACTGAAGATGTTTTAAAAAGGCACTCGGGTTTCCTAATACTGAATTAGGGTCATTTTTAAAACGCTTAGCTAATATATGAAGGATTATTCGCTCAATTAAAATGCTCTTGGTTGAGTTTACCGTTTTAGTAGCTTAATTAGCTCCAGCATTAGCCTCCAACAAGTTATGCTAGGAGGAAAATAACACGTACAAAAATAGACGGACACGACAACTTTAGTTCCGCCGCTGAATCTCTTACCTTTACATGAGGCAGAATAAACTCAGTTAGCCTCGCTGTGATGCTAAGTTCTGTCCCATTCACAGTGTTTCCATTGAGGGAAAAACTTCCTTGTTTTTCCTTCAAGGCGCATGCGCACACGCAAATCTCACGTCGAGCTGTGATTTAAAGAGGAAGAAAACAATTAGTCATTTGTAATTAGTTTTTAGAAAGATAATTATTGTGAATGGAACGATTTCTTTTAGATATATTTTTAAATAAATGTCTTTTAAGGTTGAATACAGTTGAATATAGATGCAGTAAAGTGCAGTAAAATGTACCAATTTTTCTATTTAATCTCAAAATTGCTGAGATTTTTCTTGCAAATATTTTAACTTTTGAAACCCAGGAATGGTTTTTGTTTTTTCTGAAAAATGCCTCATATTTTTTTGCAGAAATTAATTATTTTGCAAAACTTTTACATATCTGCAACACTTGCTGCCACAGATTCACAACAAACAATATTTTATATTAGCTTCTGTTGTCTGCAATTATAGCTTCTTTAAGTAGCATTTCTGACTGCTAGTTAAAGAAGCAGTCAGACTTGCTGATTTAGTTAGGTTGGATGTTATGCCTGAAGTTTCTGAATATAAACATCACTAAAACAGGAACATTAAAGTCTCGTTTAATGTCAGATGATGGTAGGAATAAAATATAGTTATTTGTTTTTTACAGCTGCTGATGGATATGTAGAAAAATTACTGCTCCTTAAAGCCTTATTTACTGAAACAGTTATTGCATCCTTGAAAAACAACAAACTGACTTTTTGTTCCAGGAACAAAACGTCTCCCTCCTCCACCTGCAGGGAACAATATAAAATTTACCGTCCGTCTCTGCACATGGCAGGAAACCAAGGACGTCCCATAACAACAAATGGCACTCAGATACAAACTCCTCACCATCATAAATAAGGCGGCACAGTTAAAGCAGCAACGCTTCAATCATTGTGAAAACCACAAATAATAAAAAATGTAATGTTGAAAGCTTTGACCATCACAACTGCAGACTCCAAACCGCATGTCAGCAACATCCTTTTGTTTCTATATTAAATCAGACTCAACATCTGCACAGCTGAGGATTTATGAAGAGACAGGATCCATGTTTAGTAATCCTGATAGTCGTTATTTAACATCCCAGCTGTTGCAATTGATAAAAAAATTAAATGTATCTGTTTAAAGGGGCAGTATTATGTGTTAGTACCATTTTACAGCTTAATTAGGTAACTAAGTTACCGTCCAGTTGTTATAAAAATGCTACATATAAAACTTGACTTAATAGAAAATTTACTTTGTAAATTAACACCTTGAAATTGGGCCTCTTTTGACCCGTTAACAGAATTTTTACCAGTGTTTCACAGAGAAGTTTAATGAGCTCAGCAGTTTCACCAGGTGTTTGCTAATTGCTCCTGGCTAGTTTGAAGGAGCCGAGTGGGAAACTGCAGAGGAGGAGCTAGGTAAACTCAAACATGCATGAAAGAATTGAACCAACTCTCCAGTTTTTTTTTTTTTTTTTTCACATTATGACATGACGTAAAGCTCTAAGAAGTAAACTTTATAATCCTGCATATGATCTCATGGTAACAGATTCTGGCATCTGTTCCCTAAAAAGAGGCTGCTGGAATCGAATCCCTGCATTTGGAAAATATCAAATGTCCAGCAAGGTCCTATTCTCACCGCTGACAAAACCTGAGCTCCTGCTGCTCTGACGGTTAAAAATAAAACCTCTGTGAGGCAGAGAGGCTCCTCTCGCTGTGGGAGGGCTGGCAGGAAACTCGGCTCACCTCAGAGAGCCCGGACTGCTGAGTTCCCAACAGCTTTTGATTTATCTGAGCATCTCTTTGTCTCATTTTTGATCTCAGAGATCATGTTAAAGCCTTGTAACCCAGTATGAAGTAAAAAAATATTTCTATGAGAGGTCTGCAGGATTTCTGTGTCTAGGAAGTCAGAAACTGCATGAACTCCGGTGGAAAATGGGAGGAAACTTGTTAAAATGACAACTGTTAGTTAAGAACTTCAAAAATCTGCCATTTACAAAAGACAAGGGAAAAATAAAGAAGCCAAAATATGTCAAATAAGACCAAAACTGATTGTTTTAAACATCCAAAACATCATCCAATATGAGGAATATACCAAGATTTTTTCGTTTCCATATACACACAGAAAAAGTCCTAATTTCTTAAAAATTTAAAAATGGTTATCCAAACTTTCTGAATATCCTTTGATGTTATTTCCTTCTTTCCGTGGATTTTTTATTCATTTCAACCAATTTCTGTGTTTGTACGGCCTGACTTTGTGAGCTCCAGTGTTTCCATGTAAAAACATCAAGTAAAATATAGTCCTAAAACATTAATTAACGAATCTGAAACCAATCAAAACAGCCCAATTTGAAGCTTAACATTTACTCCATGTTAAGCTGTAAGGTTTACACTTTAATGTTTTGCAGTGTAAGATTAGAAAGAACCGCTCTAGCTTGCTAGCATGAACGTAATCCCTCTGTTTGCAGAGTTTAATACAGTCCTGAGGACGTCTGAGATAAATCCCAGCCATTAGCGTCTGGCTTTAAGCATCGTTTCCACTTCATTTCCTTCTTACTTACTTCTGTCTTTAGCAAACCTCAGAGTCTTTACAAGTTAATGAAACCAAAGGGCTCATTTCAAATCCTGTTTGGCTCATCTCTAAATGCATTTGTTGAATAATTGGGTACACAGTACGCATTAATTCAGCAGGTTAAGTAATACTGCAGATGCTCTCTCACTTCTCTCCAGAGACGTTTTCATCTCAGGGAATTAAATTAGGATCGACGTCATCTCTCTGGAATTCATTTAGCCGCATCTCTGCAGAGAGGGAAACGCTGAAATGCTGCGCAGGTCGACCTGACGGAGGAAACACTGAAAGGTCGCACAGGTCGCCCTGACGGAAGGAAACGCCGAGACGCCGCACAGGTCGGCCTGAAGGAGGAAACACTGAAAGGTCGCACAGGTCGGCCTGAAGGAGGAAACACTGAAAGGTCGCACAGGTCGGCCTGACGGAGGAAACACTGAAAGGTCGCACAGGTCGGCCTCACGGAGGAAACACTGAAAGGTCGCACAGGTCGGCCTGAAGGAGGAAACACTGAAAGGTCGCACAGGTCGGCCTGAAGGAGGAAACACTGAAAGGTCGCACAGGTCGGCCTGAAGGAGGAAACACTGAAAGGTCGCACAGGTCGTCCTGAAGGAGGAAACACTGACAGGTCGCACAGGTCGGCCTGAAGGAGGAAACACTGAAAGGTCGCACAGGTCGGCCTGAAGGAGGAAACACTGAAAGGTCGCACAGGTCGTCCTGATAGAGGGAAACGACTAGATGCCGCGCAAGTCGGCCTGACGGAGGAAACACTGAAAGGTCGCACAGGTCGGCCTGACGGAGGAAACACTGAAAGGTCGCACAGGTCGGCCTGACGGAGGAAACACTGAAAGGTCGCACAGGTCGTCCTGACGGAGGGAAACCCTTTCCGTTATTTCCCCCCATTTGCTTCCTTCTTTTTTTCTTTTTCAAATTGTTTGGATTGTTTGTTTTTTTACGCGATAAAGCAAAAAATTATTTGATTCATGATTTCTTTAACTTAGAAATGAAAGTTCAAAAGTTTTCAAACTTCAGATGAATTAAATCAATGCCAACAATAATTTAAACACTTGAATACACAAACTTGCATTCTGTGTGAATAAATAAAAGTTACATTTAAAAGATAAAATATTGGTGTACAAACAGAAGAAATATTGAACGACGGTGGAAAACTGAATTTATTTGATGATTTCTGTGGGGAATAAATTCTCATTTAAGTCGCTCGAAGTATCACAGAAGATTTATTTTATATTTCCAGGCTTTCAGATTCGCTCGCAGTGAGCTGCAGAGAAATACCAACCTGTTTTTGCTCAATAATTGTTGATCTCCTTAAGGATTCCTCTCAGCAAGCAGAGTTCAATATTTTCTTCTGAGCCCTGAAACAGAAAAACTTCCCTGAAAAATACAGAAAGCAAAAACTTTTAAGGCAACATTTTTACTTTACAAACAGCCCTGCAAAGGTGGATAGTTACAGAGGAAGCCAGAGATGGTCACAAATGAAATTTAAAAGTTCTACAGAGTGGCAGTTTTTCCTTCCACTAAGCTTTCCATCAGTATGTCTGCATACAAGAGAAACTAGCTAGCCTCTTTAGCACGTACCTCTGGTGTCTTACTTTCTTAAACTATGAGATGAGTACAGTTTCATATTTTAATTTCTACAGAGGCACAGTTTTTTCTTCCACTAAACTTTCCTTTAATATGTTCATTAGTAATAACATTTTTTGGTCTACCCTGTCTCCTGGATAACTGTTTTATCTTCAGCCTTCCCCATAATAATTGTACATTTTCAAATAAATTAAATTCCTCTGTTTGTGTAATAATTTTTTCTTCCACTAAACTTTCCTTGACTGTGTTTGGAACCTGCTTCATTAGTAATAAGTTTTTGTTGATTACCTTTACTCTGCCTGCTGGATAGCTACTAATTCCCTTGATTATTAAATAATTATGAATGATCTAAATTCTCCTGTTGCTTTTTTCATTCCACTAAACTTTCTTTTAATATGTTCATCTCCAGCTTCCTTAGTAACAACATTTTGTGGTTTATGCTGGATAACTGGTAAGTCTTCAGTCTTCCCCGTAATAACTGTACATTTTCAGAGAAATTAAATGTTCATGTTTGTGCACACTTTTCTTCCTTCCACTTAATTTTCCATTAATATGCTGAGGTTTACTCACTTTTTGGAAGATGTCTATAACTTTCAGCATTCTCCATGATCTTAAAAATGTATTGAAAATCCTCTTTGTTTCTCTTATGCAACATCCACGTTTCACTCTAGAGACAATAAATTTAACCTTGTGGATTTGATCGCTGAGATAAACAACCTGCAGCACTGGAAGCGCTAATATGTATTTATTCTTTCTTGTATTTGGATGCAGATAAAATAAATTCTGCTCTGCTGAAGGTTGCCTTGCTTGCCTTGGGAGTATGACTAAGCCTGACTGCATTAAAATGCACCAACATCACCAAATAAATGCAGGAACGGATGACAGACGCCTCAAACATTTAAGTACTTGGACAGTTTTACAGAAATAAGGAGAAAAGTAGCCAGAATACGTAAAAAATATACTCAAGAGTAGCAATACGTCAACATATTTGTACTCAAGTAAAAGCAAAAAAGTGACTGATTGTTTAATATTTTAAAATTACATCAGACGGATTAATATATAAAGTTAAGTGGAAATTTTGGTATTTTAAGGACAAAAATTACCATAACTAACTAAAAAATAACAAAATCGGACAAAAGAATGTTTTTACAAAAAAAAAATTTCGCACGTGTCAAAGTCAAGGTCAAGCTGCAGCTTTTTACACCAACAAGTCCTTCAAGTTTTCACAAATCTGCAAAAGTCACAAAATCAACAACTATACATTTTTGTCTCATTTTACTGGAAGTTTTCTCAAATTTGGTCAAAAACATTGAGTTTAAGTGACTTGAAAACCGATACAGCAAGTAAGAAAAAGTTATATTTAACATCAAACATTAATGCAAATATTGTAAAAATTTATTGGAACAAAATCTGTAATTTTAAAGAAGATACACTATAACAATCACAAAATCCTGGAGGAACAGCTATTTATTGATATTTCAAAAGTTTAATTGGGTTCGGATGATGTAATCTTTAAATATTAAATAATTCGATCAGTTACTCAGTACTTCAGTCATTTTTCACTTTTACTTGCGTAAAAACATTTTGAGGTAATGCTACTCTGCCCACCTCTGAATGTAATCAGGTAAATGTAACTCGTTGCCAATCGGTTCTGGTTTCCCTCCTCCTGAGCCGGCGGCGTGACGATGCGAAGCGTTGACGGCGGTCGGGACGATCCAAACGCATCAATAACACGGTAAGGATGATAAACAGGCTGCTTCTTCTCTCGGGTTATTGTTTCAGGCTGATTTATTTATAGCCTCTTCGACGGGCCAGCAACTTTACCACAGGTGTCTCAGGCGTCTGTGATCAAACGTTCCCGTCCTTCAACTCTGCCTCAGACGCAGAGGTAATATATTTATCTTCAGTGACAGAGATGTCTCGTGTGTCTGCTGCCTCTGGCCGAATCGATCCAAGTTATAGATCTTCCTTCTCTGTGGTTCAAACTTTTTGGTTGTGCATTTTTCTCACATTGTCCTCCTTGAACTCTGTATTGTGTTTTACAGTTGCTTAAAAGCTATTACTACCAATTTTCTCAGGATTGGACGCTCCAGCAAATTCACTCCAAGGTCGCCCACATGTAATTATTTCTGAAATTACAAAAAAACCCAAGATGTCCATCTGAGACTCTACAGGCTATTTTTATTTTTAAAATCTTAAATAAATAAGCATCACTTAACCTGGTGGGGACACAATTAAAGCCTGGTGGCCCGCCAGGCTTATAATACACTGGGGAAGATTTAATATTTTCTCCACTGTTTTTACAATTAAAGTATCAATAAGTCTGGAAATATTTGTACAGGTTAGTGATGCAAATCCTGAAGATCGAGACACTGAATTGGTGTTTCTGTATTAAAAGCTGTTATGTTTACAGGAAATGTAAAATATTACTGGGTAATTATGTTATTCCTTTTTTGTTGTTTTTATTTTCTGAAACTCTCCCACTGGTCACTTTTATTGTCATAAACTTCCATTAGATTTCAGACAGCATTCCCCTGGTGTGAAAAATTAACTGAGAGTTGCATTTAATTTGTCAATCCTCCGTTTTCCTTCCTTTCCTCTGCAGATTTTATGATTGAAACCATAAACTTTACATAACCTGCAGCCGAGCCGGTGTTTGGGGAGTTTCTCCGTATTTTTTGCTACCTTTCTAGAAGCAAATATCAGAACTCCTTAAAGGTCAGATTCCTCGCCGTCTTGGCAGATGGGTATCTGGAAGAGGCATTATTGCACCACTATTCCCACTGCATCCCCTCATAACTGATGTTGTCTCGCTTTGGCCGACTGCAGGCATTAAACCGATTACACTTCGGCAGAGTCTGCCTCTCTCTCTCCACTTCTGCTGCCAGGGGAAGACAAACACACAGCCTCCACTTGGCACAGAAATGTGTTTTGTAGCTATCAGCTTCAGCTGGTTAAATACTAAATTATTCATAGGCAGGTAAAGGCTTGTGTTGGTGAGATTAGAGAACCTAATTGTGCCTTTTGCGGAGACAATTTGCCTTTCACTGAACGTCAAGTTAAGAGGAAATTAAGGGTAGGAATTTATCATTTTGCCTATAACTTATCATGATCAAGATAAGATTTCTGATTTATTATTTTCATGAGAAAACCTCCAAAAACTGTCTTTATTTAATATTCCATACAACCCTGAATGCACGCTTGTAGAGAGGGTGTTTTCACGCCAGATAACTTGGTAGATTTCATTGGGTTGGGGACCAAAATTGCAACATTTGTTACATTTTCAGCTGCTGTGGTTCGCTTTCACACCGTAATACATGAAACAATCCAAACTAATTGAATAAAGCTATTCCCCTCCTCGCCTGTGGGGGCGCTGCGCAAAGAACTACTGAAGGAAATGACACAAAAAACTCCATCTTCACAAAATGTAAACAAAAATGGAGTATTGGTTAGGATTTATCTTTTGTTTTTCGTAAAGACTACAAGCTAATTCTCCAGCTAGCACCAGACTCACACGTTTATTTTGGTTGCATTTACCCAAAATGCCCTGCGTTGTAGTCCACTTCCTGCTTTTGCATATGTGAGCGCTTGGCGTTCACATTTGCATTTGAACCACACCAAAGTTCACTTCAACCAAAAGAAGGTTTATAGTTTCTTTTTATTTCATTGTTACTTTTGGTCTCACGTTAGTTTTAGTAGTTTTAGTTAGTTTGTTTACTAGATTTATTAATTTGTTATTATAGGTTAAACATTGTTTACTTTTAGTTTAGCTTTGCTTAGTTACATTAGTAGTTTTAGGTGAACCAGAGTTTGCTTCACACCTCACCAAGTAAACTGGTGATTTGGATTAAAGTGAACTAAACTGGGCTGATGTGAATCCTTGATATCAGTTTAGAAACACAGATTAAGCTAACATGTTTTAGAACCCAGAGAGAAACTACGAATGCCTGGAGAAAATGCTAAAATCCCTGTAGAAAGACAGAATATCATGGAAAAGTAATGTATTTCATTGATTTAATTAAAAAGTTAAAATTCATTATGCAAAGTTAAATCCTTACTACCACAGTTTTTTCTTCCACTCAACTTTCCTGCTTTAAACACCTAGATACAACCCACTGTGAAAAACCAGATTCTTCATTTAAGATCTTTTATGCCTGTAACTGACTCTGTGATGGAAAGTGTCTGCTGAGTAACACTCGCACTTCCTCCTTCCACTCAACTTTCTGTTAATGTGCTTGTTTACAAAGAAGAAAAATATGTTTTCAAAGCGAGACGACAGAAAATGATGAAGCCTGAGTTAAATGATCCATAGCCGATGACTAGGAAAGACTTTGCAGAGGTCACCACTCAATCACAGCCACCCACACTAAAGGGCGATTTAGACACTCCAATTAGCCGAACGTCTAATTTATCAGAGTCACTACCTTACAACCCACATATTATCATAACCTAATGAACGGACCATACAAGAATAAACTGAACCTATTTTTATAACATCATACAAAATTAAGAACAGAGAATATCAACTGCATGTGTTGCAAAAATAGCACTAGTCCAACATATTTTTACTTGAGTAAAAAAGTATTTGGTAAAAAGTCACTCAAGTACCGAGTAACTGATCAAGTTACCAATCATTGAATATTTAAAAATTACATCATTTGACGAACCAAAATATAAAGTTAAGTGGAAATCTTGGTTTTTAAGAACCAAACTGACAATAATTCACATGAGTAACAAAAAAATAACAAAATCACGCAAAATAAAATGTTTT